CACACACACACACACACACACACACACACACACACACTTACTTTGGGTTTAATTTGTTCTTCTTTTTCCAGTTTCTTAAGGTGCAAGCTGAGGTCACTAATTTTAAGCCTTTCTTCTTATTTTAAAATAGTTAATTAATTAATTTTTGTCTGTGTTGGGTCTTCGTTGCTGCCCACAGGCTTTCTCTAGTTGCGGCAAGCGGGGGCTACTCTTCATTGAGGTACGTCGGCTTCTCATTGTGGTGGCTTGTCTTTGTTGTGGAGCACAGGCTCTAGGCGTGCAGGCTTCAGTAGTTGTGGCACACAGGCTCAGTAGTTGTGGCTCACGGACTCTAGAGCACAGGCTCAGTAATTGTGGTGCATGGGCTTAGTTGCTCCACGGCATGTGGGATCTTCCGGGACCAAGGCTCAAACCCGTGTCCCCTGCATTGGCAGGTGGATTCTTAACCACACCACCAGGGAAGTCTGAGTAAGCCTTTCTTCTTTTCTAACATAAGCATTTAGTGCTATAAATTTCCCTCTAAGACTGTCTTTAGCTGCATGTCACCAAATTTGATATGTTGTGTTTTCATTTTCATTCAGTTCAAAATAATTTCTGACTTCCCTTATGACTTATTCCCTGTGACTTATGGGTTATTTAAAAATGTTATTTAGGGACTTCCCTGGTGGTGCAGTGGTTAATAATCTGCCTGCCAATGCAGGGGACACGGGTTCGATCCCTGGTCTTCCCAGACCATGCTGCGGAGCAGCTAAGCCCATGTCCCACAACTACTGAGCCCACGTGCTACCCACATGCCTAGAACCCATGCTCCACAACAAGAGAAGCCCATGCACCGCAATGAAGAGTAGTCCCTGCTCGCTGCAACTAGAGAAAGCCTGCGCACAGCAACAAAGACCCAACACAGCCAAAAAAAACCCAATGCTATTTAGTTTCTAAATATTTGGGAAACAATATTGTTTAATGATTTCAATCTTTTATTACATTTACTGAGAGTTGTTTTATGGCCCAGAATGTGACTTATCTTTGTAAATATTCTGTGTACCCTTG